CAGTCCTTCCCCTTTCCCCCCCCTGTTCTTGCCCCATCTCGCTTGCAGCCCCCAGGATTGCTACTGAGGACATCACTACCTTGGAGCTACCAACGTGTCCTGTCGCCGCCAGGGGCATGTGGGTGACTTGCAAGGGGAGACATGACTGGTTAAGGGGGTGCAGCATGTCTCTGGGGACCTGGTGGCCCACCTGTCCCGGTGCCTGTGGTGCCCCATAGTCCCCCCGGCGGGCTGGAGCTGGACATGTGGCAAGGGACCCTCCTGTTGGCCTGCCCACCAGTACAGAGGGGCTGTGCCACATCTCCCCCTTCCCTCCTGCACCCCCTCCCCACCCCATATCTCCCCCTATAATCCCCTCCCTGCCCCACATCTTCTGTTGCTGTGTGGCTGCGTCCACCTTCTCTGTCCTTATGTTGTCCATCCTTATCTGGTCCTTGTACCGTCTGCCCTTATATTGTCCATATACGTATTGTCCACCCTCATATTGTCCATCTTTATGCACCCCTTGGCTTTGGTAGCAGCATGTGTCCCCAGCTGTACCCTATAGATCCCTGAAAAGCGCCCCAGCCCTGCCCTGTAGCCCATAGTGTCCCCAGCTGTGCCCTGTAGATCCCTGAAAGGCCGCTCAGCAGCCCGGATCTCCTTCTTCCCAGCAGCCTTGATCTCATCCCAGCAGAGGAAGAACCCAGGCAGACAGCAAGGTCCTTCACCTGTCCAGACCTCAGGATCAGAACATGCTTCTGTCCACTTTCCCTGCGCACGTGGTGTCCCTACCCTCCAGCCTTCTCCATCCACACCCTCTGCACCCTTGGGGACCTTGTGGAGGATGCAAAATACCTGCCCTGCCTTTGATGCTGGAGACGGTGCTGGAGATGCTCCACCACAAGTTTCCCTGTCCGTGTACACGTGGCATTGTCTGTGGCAGCTGATTCAGGGGGCCGTCTAAAATGCTTGCTCTTAGCCTTGCTCCTCCAGGATTCCCGGTGCCACCTTCCCTTGAGCAGGAGGCTTCTCTGAGCACCCAAGGCATCAGATAAGCCCTTTCTCTTCCCCACAAAGTGTTCCCTGCCTCCGATGGTGGCTACTGCTCTCAGTGTAACATTTGCAAGAGGACGCTCACCCAAAATCAGCAGAGGGGCAGTATAGGTAGTGGTATGAAACCTGGGCAAAGTGGGCACTGCAAGTCATGGCTTCATTTCTTCATACCTTGGTGGCCATTTCTACCTTATTCACCCTTATTTTATTTTAAAAACTGGGGGAAAAAAATGGCAAAAGGAGCTTGCTTTGCCTCCCACCCTCCATATGAAGGCCTCCCCAGACATTTGCCAGGAGGCAAGCATTTCTGGGGGTGGTTGATACCAAGCAGCCATCACCAGTCTCCATTGGCTGGTTGTGGGCTCCAGCTCACCTTCAGCAAAGCCCGAAACTGAATTCATAGTTTAGTCAGAGCCTCATTGGGGCGAACCCAAAGTTTGTTTCTGAGGTTCAATCCTAAAAGCAACCCCAAGTCAATGCTGCTCCAGCCATTTTTGACCAACAAGACACAGTTTAAGTCCTCAGGTCAACCATGAAGACCCCATCCCAGACCTGGGTGAGCCAAAGAGGAAGGAATAATCAGGAGGAAACTTAAGCCAAGCAAGAAAGGAGAACAAGAGCTAGGCAGGAAGTCTGTCATCCTCTGGCAGTTAGTAACTGGGAGATCCTTGGCTGACCTGCTGCTGGTTGTGGTCCCATGAACATATCTGCAGCCTCACTGCCCATGTTTGGCTGTGGGGACGGAGAAAAGGACCTCATGC